ACATATATACACACACACATATATACATATATACACACACACATATATACATATATACACACACACACAATAAAAAATACTAATCACAAATAAAATGAAGGCAAAAAAAATCTTATATCTGCCCCTTTTTCCCCCAAAAGAAATTCAAACAATAAAAATCTACAAACAAAACTCCTGGAACAACAAATCGTAAAAGATACAAATTACAATATTTCATATTTCTTCAACAGACCAACTTTTATCATTCTCTTAAACATAAAGATTGATCTGGCATTTTTAACATCACTCTCTAGATTATTCCAAAACTTATTCCTTGGATTAAAGAACACCTCTCCTTCAAACTGGTTTTAAATTAAAGTTTCACAAACATTTCAATTTCCTTAAGATTGTAACAACTCTCTCTTTTAACTAAATTTAATTGGATGTTTAAAGGTAATGTGTATTTAATGAGCCCTATACAAAAACTGTAAAATATTATAATAAAACAAATAATAGAATTTCAATAACTTCAATCAATAAAACAATAACTCCCTCACTTTGTACAATACTGCAATAGATTTGGCTATTTTTGTTTTTGTTAATTTATGTGAGGTCTCCATGTTAGCTTTTCATCAATGATGACACCCAAAGACTTCACCTCACTGACTCTACAGATCTCAACAACATCAACTCTTCATGGAACATTGATGGTTTTCTTTTTATTACTAAATGTCATGTAATTAGTTTGATCCAAATTTAATTATATTAAGTTTAAACCGAGTTTGTATTTTCACAAATTCTGTTTGCATCATCTCCAACATCCATTCTATAGCTTTACCCAAACAAAAAAAAGTATAATCATCTGCAAATAAAACACACTTAAAAAGTCCTGACACATTGACCAAGTCATTCACGTATAAAATAAATAACTTTGGACCAAGTACAGAACCCTGAGGAACTCCACGTGTCATTACAGAGTTCAGATCTTAAATTATTTACTTGAACAAACTGTTTCAGATAACTAGTTACCCTCTGTATTACTAATCCTCTGATGCCGTATTTATTGTGGTTTAATAAAGTCACTCATCCTCAGTTTTCTGCAGCTGATTCAGGATTTAAGCTGTTTAACCCTTTCACTGACAGGCTAACAATCACTGTTGTTCAATGAAGCAGACAGGTTCTGAAATAAACTCATGTCATCCTTCAGGTTCTGCAGGTTTTCATGAATACAAGTGGCCATCTGTCCCTGGAGCGCCGTGATTCATCCTCCTAAGTGATGGAAAAACCAGTTCTTGCAGGGTGTGGAGGCCCAAGGAGCACCAACTTAAAGACGAGCCCTCGCACCCTCCTCCGGATGCTGATTGGCTGATTTCTGATGACACGCCTTTGACTCCAGTCTCCACAGTAACCATTTGTGTGTTTAAAGAGTCACAGACAACAAAGAGCAGCAGTCGTGACCTTTGTGGGAACTAATCATGGTACCAGAGGAAACGTGACCTCTGACCCTTACATGTGAGACGTGATTGAAGAGGCCAGCTGTTAGTTTCACACTTACAGGAGAGCAGACAACAAACCGTATTCTGATTACTGAAACACTTTCTCTGATCAAGAGCCTCCTTCTGTGGAAACGATGTAAAACAGTCTCTCCAGCGCATCATTCTTTGCGTTACAACAACAAAGAAAACATCTTCTCACGGTCGGTCACATGAGAACAACAGCACTGACGGGAAACAAGTCCTCACACAACAAATCACCGACCTGCACCTCTACAAGACTACACAACACCAGACCAATTCCTCTGAGTCTTTAAACACCTTGTTCAGGTCACCTGACAGCTTTAACTGTTAGCAGGTGCTAAAACAGCACAGTGATCAAACTTATGCTTCACCACCACACCACATGTGGATCTGCAGTCATCCAGATGATTTTAAAGACAATATGATAATCATTAGGTTTTTGTGTTCAAATATTACTTTGCACAAAGCTGATAAATATTTTAATAAAGACCCTGTAGGAAATATATATGTAGTCAAGGCGTTGTGTGCACAAAAAATAAAAATGTTAAGCTATAATCTGACCCATAAATCAGATGAACTATTTCTGCTTTTTTTATTTGAACAAATTTAATAAGCTGATGGATTTTTGCAGACTTCAAGTGACAGAAAAAGCAAGTTCAGTGAGCTTTTTATTTGTTTTCAAAGTAAAATTTTTTATGTATATATTATTGTGTACAAACAAATTTTCAATGTATTCATAAATAAGGAAAGTATTTCAGATATAAAAACAAAATGAGTTAATAAAAAACAAAACAAGAAAGTGACTGATGGACTGTCGACATATCAAGTGTCCCCCTCCTTAAATTATGGCTGCATTTGGAGCAGAGTTCAAACTGTACTTTCTTGAATAACATCTATTTAGCTCTTTTTAGCTTTACATCATCGTTCAGTTAATGATGTTTAATTAACCTAATATTGAACTTGTAACTAGCTAATAACAAAAGTAGTTTGGGGCTCTACTGGAGGGGTCCTGTGTGCTACCACACTTTGATATCCATAGAGGATTAGGCAAGGTACACTTTGATTTTCTTAACTACTGTGGTTCCCATCCTGAACAATAGGTGTCACTAGTGAGAACATAACAGAATTAACGAACAAGAAATGCAGCCAGAAGAGGAAGTGTCCATTAAAAAGTGACGACAGGAAATATGTTGTTAACTGTAGCATCCTGACACGAAGTGTTGAACATAAAGGTAAAACCCAAAGATGTTTTCTGTCCAATGATGATGAATGAAACCAGACACACCTGAGGCCGACACAGAGCGGTTTTTCATTCCTCACCCTGACATCTTCTGTCTCCAGAATGATCAGGAACAAAGGCGACAGGTAACCAAAGTCCTGTGTGAGGACATGGTTGGACAACTTAAACGGTTTCATTTCCTCTGGAGATCCTCCTCCTTTGTTTGCAGGTCTGTTTGTGTTTGCTGCGACGTGCTGCAGCTTGTTTGAAGAAGGTGATGTTTTCCCCACAGGGATCAAAGTTCCATCTGCCCAATGTTATCTTAAGTCTGCGCCGAACGAGCAGGAATGAGAGCCGAGACGACCGCTGCAGGGTGAAACTCAAAGAATCCAATAATGATGCTTTGACAGATAAGAAGAATGTTACAGACAAGGGTTCTGTCGCAACACATCCACAGACACCAAACCACACCCTTGGACCAGCCCACAACCTGATCCCGAGGAGGTCCACAGGCATCCAGTCAGTGACGTTGATCTCTAACCTCAGGGAGACCGGTTAAAGCTTTACAAGCATTGGCTCTAGCAATGTCTGAAACTGGATAAAGGTCAGAAACAAATCTCTGCGTCCTCCATCCAGAACTTTTCCCAAACCTCCTCATACTTTAGGGATGAAAGAAGCTGCAGCTCAAACAAAGAGTGGTAATTTTACAGGAAAACCTTTCCACGTGACAGGAAGCTGCCTCACTGACTCAACTGGAACACAGGAACCAATGTTTCTAAAAGATTTCCTTATTGTTTCTCAGACAGACTAAATTTTCAACATTTACAAACTGTATTAGAGTCAGACGCATCCAAGGAAATGTTCCAAACAATGACTCAAATCAAAGTTTTTGACTCAGCATTTCAGGAAGAGTCAGCTCCTGCTGCACATTCAGCTCTAAAATCTGATCCTTTTCAATCACGTTTCAGTGAAAACTGATCAGATAACTCCTGTCTGCAGCACAGATATTCAGATTCTCAGGTCAGTTCTGGATCAGAATGTTTTGTTTGATGGAAATCTATGATTGTGACTGGTCTTTGAATGTTACGCCATTTTAACTTGATCCGTCTGTGTCCATCATCCTCGCCATAACGGTCAGGAGCTGTGGGAAGTACACTACCTGGCCAAAAAAAAAGTGGCTACCAAAAAGAAAGTCACACTGTAATATTCCGTTTAGCTTTGATTACGGCCCACATTCTCTGTGGTTTTTTTGGATAAGCTTCTGCAATGTCAGCAGATTTATTTCCATCCAGTGATGCATCAATTCTTCACCAAGATCTTTCATTGATGATGGTAGAGTCGGACCTTCTCCAGCTCTTCCCAAAGACTCTCAGTGGACTCTGTGGAGACAGTCCATGTGTGAAAATGATGTCTCATGCTCCCTGAACCACTCCTTCACAATAAGAGCCTCATGAATCCTGGCATTGTCATCTTGGAATTTGTTTGTGCCATCAGGGAAGAAACAATCCATTGATGGAATAACTTGGTCATTCAGTATATCCAGGTCAGCTGACCTCATTCTTTGAGGTGAACCTAGACCTGACCACCTGTAACAGCCATAGACCTGAGTTACATTCAGGTGGACACTTTGTTTTTTGGC